AATCTAGGGACATTAACAAAAATGCCACTTTTTGTGTCCACATTTGTAAAAATGTCATTTTTGGTGTCCATTTGCAAAAATGTCACTAATTATGATTTTTTAGAGCATAAATCTTAAAATTTTAAACCCTAAAAAATCTTTTGACCCCTAAAACCCTTTAAACCTTCAAAACTAAACCCTAATACGACATAGTTAACCCAAACATAAATGATATAATGAATAAATAATTTTGAAAAAGTGCTATTTTTGCAAAAATTGTAAAATGATGACATTTTTGTAAAGTGACACTTGAAAGTGGCAGTTTTTAAAATTTCTCATTCCGATATTTGTATTTGAACAATTTTCAGTCACTAAATATTTTATAACCCCCGTAAAATAAATCAAACACGAACAAAAAGGAAGACAAAATTAGGTTACCCCATGAAGTAATAAAATAAAATTGAGAATGTCAGTATAAAAATATTTGTAGAGAAATCGATCAAATATTTATCTATTTTTTCCTATTTATTTATTTATTATTTTATATTCAATTAAACTATTTCACATATTTCTATATAATTAGAATTTTCTAATCCTATTTAAATTAGGTTTAATTTTTTTTTACTATTTTACAAATAAAGATAAATAGATAAATATCTTCACTTGTACATAAATCTAATTGAAAATAATTCTTTTTCACCTATTTTAAAATATTTGCTAGATTAAGGATCCGCATATATGCGAGTTTTGTATATTGATCTCTTATAAACTCTATGAACAAATAAATATCTAATTATACAAAACAAAATTAGATCACCCGTTAAAGTAAATAAAATAAAAGTGAGAACGTTGTTGTAAAATCACTAATTGAGAATCATAACATTTCTTTATTAATTTTTCTACTTTTGTTATATGATTTAGAATTAAATTTTATCATATATTTTCAAATTATTAGTTTTTCTTATTCATATTTAGATTAAGTGTACCTTTTTATTTTGTTTACTTATTTTACTAATCAAATATCTATTTTCCAAAATATTGATAAACATATTCTCATATTTGTAATTGAACTACTTTTACCCTCTAAATATTTTATAACCCTCGTAAAATTAAAAAAAAACACGAAAAAATAGAAGATTAAATTAGATTACCCCCATGAAGTGATAAAATAAAATGGAGAATGTCAGTACAAAAGTACTTATAGAGAATTCTATCAAATATTTTCATATTTTATTTTATTTTTAATTAAATTATATCACATATTTTCAAATAATTAAAATTTTCTAATCCT